GGTGATTGGAATAAACAAAACTTGAGTTGTTGGCTGCCTAATATTGTGGTGGACACTATTGCTCTCACAAAACCAAAAAGAGGGTTCAGTGAGAGTGAGGAATATTACTAGAAGCAGTCTGTGGATGACATTTTTTACTGTAAAATTTGTTTTTTTTTACTTTTAAGTGCAATTGGCTAGTCTTGCATGAAGCAGACCATACAGCGAAGCTAAGATAGAAAAGGGGAACGATTAAATCTTCACAATGCCCTTGTGGGTTTCCTGAAGAAGAAACTGTTTTGCACTTGTTCAGAGATTGCGAGGCAGCTGAGGGAAAATGGAGAGAGTTAGTGGGATCAGAATTTTGGCAAGGCTTTAAAGGTGGGATGTAAATTGAATGGGATAAATGGAACCTAAAAATGGAAGATGTTGGTTATTCCAGAATTAAGATGACATGGACCATTGGAATTGAGGAAAATGAGCTAAATACAAGTATACAAACCACTGTATTAAGAGCGATCCAAGAACAAAGACCGCTGCATACTTTTAATAACCAACAACTACGTTTCAGAAGGCAGAGAGAAAATGCTTTAACGGTTATTAAGGATTTATGCTTCAGCAAGAGAATTTATTTGTGGAGGGGCAACCTAGAAAATAGAAGAAGAGTGGGAGTGAGTGTATATCTTCTACAAGAAGATGGAGATTATGCTTTCTCATATACATATATGTGAACTCAAAGCGATTGCTGTTGGCCTTTGTTACTGCTGGGAAAAAGGAGTGCAAAGCATATAAGTGCATGCCACTAATGCTCAATGTTATGATATTTTGGCTCAGGAGGGTTGGTCCAACTGGTTCGATAAGGGGAGGGTAAGGCGCCGCGTACCCACCAGGTCTAGGGCTCAAATCCTGGGAAATCCCTTCACTGGGACGCTCCGGATTAGTCAGTTACTCAAAAAAGGTGCTGGACACCGAAGGCGAAAGAAAAAAAAAAATGTTACAATATTTTGACTAGGGATCTCCCAGATTATCATAGTCAAGGAGGAAGTTGGAGATTTTTGTAACTATCATTGGATCGAGTTGTTCCGTTTCAAGGATAGAGAGAGTGACCACTGACCATGGCCTTAGGAATATTATGAGAATGGGTAATTTATTTTCCTCTTAATTTTAGTCAAAATTAATAATATACACATAACGCTTATTGATTTTCTGTTCATATATTTCTAAGTCCTCATACATGATACGATCTTTATTAAAAAAAATTCTAATATGAATAATGCTTTCTGATTTTCTACGCACATACTTCCAGGCCCTCATGCATGATACAATTTCTATAAAAATTGTTTCTTACGCAAGCAACGCTTACTGATTTCCTGCGCACATATTTCTAGCCCCTCATGCATGGCACGAGACCTCTCGCTATTTTACAAAATACTCTTTTAGTTTTAAATATATTTATCAAACTGAATGAAATTAGTTAAATTAATTATTTATTAAAAAATAATAATTTATGAATCCTCTTTCAAACGTGCAATGTAAGGGATAGCAGTATATTAAAAAATTAAAATTAAAAATATAAAGTAGATTAAAATCTTATATTTATGATTAAATTAACCCCCAACCAGCTTATACATTTAAGACCAAAGGAAGTAAATAAAAAAATTTAGTTTTCCATCCTAATCTTAGTTAGAGTTGTCTTAAAATGCAGTTTCTATTAAAAAAATACCATTTCTTATAGAGTTAATGCTTACTAATTTTCTTTTTTGGAATATACCCCCATATTTCTAGGCCTTCATATATTACACGAGGTCTCTCGTTATTTTAAAATTGCTCCTTATACAAATAACACTTACTGATTTTCCATGCACATATTTCTTGGCCTTCATACATGAAACGATTTTTATTAAACTTGTTTCTTACACAAGGAACGTTTACTGTTGATTGCTGTGCACATATTTCTAAGTCCTAATACATGATATAGTTTCTATTAAAATTGTTTTTTATGCAAGTAATGCTTCTTGTTGATTTTCTGCGCACATATTTCTAACCCATCATGCATAGCATGAGGCCTCTCGTTGTTTTACAAATTACTCTTTTAGTTTTAAATATATTTATTGATAAGAATAAAATTAATAAAATTGATTGTTTATAAAAAAATGGATTACAATTTATAAATCCCCCTTAAAATGAGCAAAGTAAGAGACAATAGTATATAAAGAAAATTTAAAATTTGATACGCATAGTAGATTTGAATCTTATATTTAAAACGAACAAAATCAATCCCCAATCAACTTCTATTACCAAAGGAAGCGAATGAAACAAATTCAGTTTTTTGCCTCAATCTCAGTCAAAATTATCTTAAAATACAGTTTCTATTAAAAAACTATTTTTTATACAACTAATGCTCATTGATTTTCTATATTAGAATATGCACATAGGTGTGTTCAACTGTGTCCTGTCTTAACGTCTTGTCCCTATCCTAGTCATTTTTTTGGGACAGGATGAAAGCAGAATGGAATAAAATTATTCGGGACGGACAGGACGCAGGACAAGGCGTCCTATCCCAATATATTATCTTTATTTTTAGTTGTTATAAATTTATTTTATTTACCATAGTAATAGTATTTTGGTAATGGTATTTATCAATTGTTATTTTTATATGTTTATAAGTTATTTTTGTATGGGTTATATGATATTTTTTGTAGTGAATATTTTAGGTTTGTTTATTTTTTATCTCTCATGATTACAAAAAATATTTTCTTTGTCATTGTTTCCTCATTTTTATCTATTTTCCTCACATAATTTCTATTATAAGTTTTTATATTTTCTACATAGTTAGTTTTTAAATTTAAAAAAAAGAGATGGGACGTTCCTATTGGGATGGGATGGAACAGGACAAAAGACGAAAAAGCTATCCCATCCCAATTATTGGGATGAGACTGGGACAGGATTATCTTTATCCCGTGAACACTACTATGCGCCTATATTTCCAACTGTCTCGTTATTTTAAAATTTCTCCTTGTACAAATAACACTTACTGATTTTCTACACATATTTCCAGCTAGAACCTCATACATGATATTGTTTTTATTAAAATTGTTTCTTATACAGGAAACGTTTTACTATTAATTTTCTGTACACATATTTCTAGGCCCTTTTACATGATACAGTTTCTATTAAAATTGTTTTTTATGCGAGTAACACTTGCTGATTCTCTGCGCACAAATGTTCTAGGCTATCATGTAAAACACGAGGCCTCTTGCTGTTTTAACAAATAATCCTTCAGTTTTAAATATATTTATTAATATAATTAAAATTAATTAAATTAATTACTCATAAAAAATGAATTACAATTTATAAATTCCCTTTAAAATGCACAAAGTAAGCGACAATAACATATAAAAAAATTTAAAATTTGAAAGACATGACAGATTTAAATATTATATTTAAAACCAAATCATTCCTCAGTTAGCTTCAACATTTGAGACCAAAGGAGGTGAATAAAAAAAAAAATCAGTTTTTTTGTCTTGATCTCAGTTAAAATTATCTTAAAATACAATTTCTATTAAAAAAATATCATTTTTTATACAGCTAATGCTCTGGAATATGTGCCCATATTTCCAGGCCTTCATACAATAAACGAAGCCTTTCGTTATTTTAAATTGTTTCTTATACAAATAACGCTAACTGATTTTCTTAGGCCCTCATACACGATACGGTTTCTATTAAAACTGTTTCTTATCAAGGAACGTTTATTGTTGATTTTCTATGCACATATTTCTAAGCTATACAGTAACGCTTACTGATTTTCTTCTCACATGTTTCCAGGCCATCATGCATAGCACGAGGCCTCTCGCTGTTTTACAAAATACTCCTTTTATTTTAAATATATTTATTAATATATATAAAATTAGTTAAATTAGTTATTTATAAAAAATAAATTATAATTTATAAATCCCTTTTAAAGTTGGCAACGTAAGGGACAGTGGTATACAAAGAAAATTTAAATTTTGAAAAAAAATAGATGAAAATCTTATATTTAGAATCAAATCAACTCCCGATTACATTTTATATTTAATAACAAATGAAGTGGACAAAAAAAATAAGTTTTTTTGTCTTAGTCTCAATCAAAATTATATTAAAATATTGTTTCTATTAAAAAATACCATTTCTTATACAGCTAGTACTTATTGGTTTTCTATTTTAGAATATGTGCCCATATTTCTAGGTCTTCATATGTTACCCGAGGCCTTTTGTTATCTAAAAAAAAAAAAAGTAAAAAGTATTACGCTTAAATTTCTAGATCTTTATACACTGCATGAGGCCTCTAATTAGTTGGATAAAAATACCTTTTAAATTTTAAAATCCTAAATCAGAAATTATTATAAAAATATATTATTATTTGCTTTTCAAGTGTTGTCACTTGTTATTAAAATATGGTAAACAAAGCTCATTTGAAATTTTGATTTTCAAGAGGTATTTTTTTTACAATTTTTCCTAATAAAATAATTTTTATCACAATTTCAGTTAAAATTAGTAATATATCCAATTTGAATTTCTGCACTTATAATTTATGCATAAAGAGAATAAAATACCATAACTTAAAATATCAAATCACAAATGGATTCATTCTCCTTTGCTCGCATTTATTATTTACTATCTCTTATATGAATTACGTGTACACATTAACACACATGCATCCGCGCATTAATAGTCTTTTCCCACACCTAGGCCCTCATAATAAGTAACTGAAAACTTCACATATTTTGCAAATTTAAAAAAAAGCGTAATGTAAATAAATTTTAATTATTACATTGAGATATTCACCTTTTCATGAAACTATTTGCTTCGCTAATTTGCCTCATCGCCAAACACGCCGGAGGCCCTTAACGTTCACAAAGGTCATTAAAGTCAACATGCCTTGAATTTCGCCTTCCCGCCCTCCTCCCACCATCTTTAAAATTGAGCGCCTTCTATAAATTCCTTCATCTTTCTGGCATTCATTTACATAAGAATCCTTCTCTCCCGCGTGTCGTGGCCACAGCACAACCCTGCTTCTCTCCTCCGCCGCGATCTGGGTGCATCAGCCATGCCGAGCAAACGCAGAACAGAGTCCAGCGCTGGTTCTGCTTCAGCCTCTGGCAAGTCTTCCAAGAAGTTCAAGAAGACGGAGGAGTTGGAGCGTGGGGCAGACGAACTGCTTCCTTCTTCAAAGACGCGTGTTAGTGCTGATCATCCTACTGGTAGATTTCTCGGAGAACCAGTTCCCGACCAGGAAGCAAGGCAACGCTGGCCCCATCGGTACCAGGGGAAGGGAAAGGTACATTTTCCCTGTAAAGCTTCCTAATTTAAACTCTAAAGTATCCTCATTTTGGCGAAACTATTTTTTCTTCAAAGAACTGTTTTTCGGATTCCCCATTATGAGCTGAAAACTTCATTTTCAGCACCTGTAGAAAAAGAAAAGAGATAAATTAGGTTTGTGATGTCTCCCCCAATGCGTTAACGCAAACAACCATGAGGGAGCTAGATTCCGCTAACAAAAGCAATCTGTTTTCAGCAGCGGGACTCTATCCCAATCTCCATTACTCTTCAATTTAGGATAACTATATTCAATCGATTCCCACTTCCGCTTGATGTTATCATATTAGAACTAAATTATTTTAGCCAGATGTCTGTTATATTGAACCAGTACTGTTGAACTTCAAGGAGAACTCATAGCACTGAATAAAGAGAGATTCCTACTACCTTAACAGTTTACTACTCGCCTTAATAAAGAATTATCAATAAGAAGCGGCGGGAGTTTGGCTATTGTCCTGCGGGCGAGTGTCATGGCGTCTCCTTCTCTGGCTTAAGCCGGATGGGAGGATGTCTGTGCTGTGTCCTTTTTTTGTCGTCCTTTCCATTTCTTTCTTGTTTTCATTTGAGTTTTCTGATGGACGGGCGGTCCATCTATGTGGAAATAAATGGATCTGAGGGATTCTGTCGCTATAGCACTCGTGTCATGGTGGTTGGATGGATATGGACCTGCTTATTCTGATTCACGTTTTTGGGGGAAGGAACGTGTCGAATGGATTAAGGGATTTTGTCGCGATAGCTCTTGCCTGGTGTTGGTTTTAAGAGGCGATTGGATAGGCGTGGACCTGTTTCCTCCAGTTCACGTTTTTGGGGGAAGGAGAGTGTTGGCCATCTCGGTGTTCACTCGAGATAGCTCTTGTTGGTTAATGGTTGACATTATTGCTTGTTTGGGTGTGCATTTTGAATGATGCATCCTCGGGTATCCTCCACCGTTTTGAACGGCGCATAGAACCCAAAGTCTTTGAAACTGCAAATACGTTAGGAATAGGATTATGAATGGTGCATCCTCAGGTATCTCCAACATTTTTATACGTTCTTTCTGAGATAGACTAAAGTTTGGTTTGTCGCTAACGTAATTAGATGCTAGAGCATCACCTAATGTGCGTCTATATACTCTGTCTGGTCATTGAGGCAAGGCAATTAGCTGAGAAAGTAAACCATATTCTTCTGTGGAAATATTTCTCTCCTGTTGTGTTGCGACGTGGCCATTTTTTTGAAAAAAAAATCAGTCAAACCTACCCTCTATCATTAATCCTATATCCCATACAACGTCAACTCCACTGACCTCTGAGAATCCCATTTTGCAACAAGTAGTTTATGTGTGCATTGTAAATTGTAAAATGTTTTTTACGTGTAATTTTGGTTTATGGAGATTTCTTATGATGGTGAAGTGGTTAAGTCTGCCTATTGAATAAATCACGAGGCGAGTTGCAGGTGTTTTAATACAGAAGATGAAATTTGAGATCTATTTCAAACAATAGTCTGCCATCAATCTTTGTGTGTGTGTGTGTGTGTGTGTGTGTGTAATCTTAGATGAGTTTTCCTGACGAATCTTTTGTTTCCACCACTATCAATTTTAATTTGAATATAAAATTCTCACTTTCATTTTCAGAAAAAGAGGCAATCTGTTGGATCAAATGCAAACAAGTAAGTTAACGTTGGATTGTAAACTTGTTGACATTGATATGTTGATTTTGGTGTTACATCCATCATTGAGTAGAATTCCTTTTTATTGTTAACATTTAAATATTTGTTCCCATCTTCTTGTGACGTTTTGACTTACGTCTTATGTGTAGTGATGTTGACGAGGAGATTATTCAAGCTCGACGACACTATACACAAGCAGAAGTAGATGATTGTATTGATTACAAGCTTAATGATGATGCTCATGTGAAAGTGAGTTAAAATAAATCATTCATTATATAGATAACCATTGACATTTGTGCAATTACTTTTGTTATAAGAACAATAAGCTTTACCTTACTAGGTGGGGTTGGCTATATAAGTTGCATGACACTATTGTGCTCTATCGATAACCAAATCTTTAAATAAATTGGTAATTAAAAAGTCTTGCTCCATAATGTCATTGAGTGTTCTCCTTGATCTTCCTTTACCTTTTTTTAGAGGGTTTTATATCACTTGATCTGCCCTACTCATTGTGCACCTAATGACCTTCTTTCTATGCCTTAAAATGATTTTCTCCTATTTTCTTTTTAGTAGATGCTGCTCCAACCTTTTCTCATATATGTTCATTTAGAATATTATTTTTTCTTGTATGACCACATATCCATCTCAATATTTTTATCATTGCTAGTCTGCTACCTCTACTTTATGCTCTTGTTGTCTCTTTAAAGTCTGATAGTTGCTACCGTATGGCATTCCTGGATTCATACTAGTATGATAAAACTTTCCTTTTACTTTATTAGGTACCTTTCAATCATACATAACTTTAGTAGCCTTTTTTCATTTAAACCATCCAACTTGAATTCTGAGGTGAACATCTCTGTCAATTTCACCTTTTTTTTTTGTATAATCGATCTCAAATATTTGAACTTTTCCATTGATCTCCCATTTTAACCTCCAAATCATGTTTAACTTCAAATTACTTTTGTTAGATCAGAATAATTTGTGACAATGCCATGCATAACTTACAAGTGAAGTTTTATTCTAGCTAACTTTGGTTAGGAATTGTATATTGAAGTAGCTGCTTTTTGGGTTGGGATACATTAGGAGTCAAATAAGTTGTTGCAACTCCAAGCAAGGATGCATTGCAACTAGTGAATGCTCATTAGCTTAGGATCATTAATATGAGTAGATCCAAAAATCCTCATAGGTTAATTCTACCAATTGAGCCTATACGCAGCCAGCACCAACAAGTCTTATCCCACGGAGTGGGATTGGCTACATAAATTGCATTATGCCATTATGCTCAACTTTTTAATTACAGTGTTCAACGATAGGTCAACCAATTGAGCCTGTCCTTGCAAAAATATTGTAACAAGCTGTGTCATAAAAGATTCTGGCCAATCCCATACTTTTGTGTCATGTCTCAATTTTTGCTTTTTACCTAGTGGTATAAGACTTATTATTGTCATCGTCTTGGTTTCTGCTTTGTTGCTGAGATACATTATGGATCAAAGAAGTGAATGTTACAATAGGATATTATAGGTGGACCTCTCAAGTCTCAACTTGATGGCACTTGAAAGGCAGGGGATTTTCAATATGTTTAGTTTCACTTGTTTGCTTTTATGTGCATAAGTAGATGTTGGATTCATTGTATAATTCAACTTGTTTCCGCATGGTGTGCGTTGTATTTTTTGTGACTAACATTGTTTTGATGTCGTTTATACATGTTGATTTAGGCTGAAGATGGGAAGCTGAATTATATTTGTAAGATCGTTGAAATGTTTGAAGCTGTTGATGGCGCATTGTACTTCACAGCACAATGGTATTATAGGGCGGAAGACACTGTAAGATATATTTTTATTCTTATCAAATCAGAATTTGAAAACCATTGTTATGCGTGCTATTTTACTAATTTTGTATGTTTCCTCCTACTTTTCCAGGTTATCAAGAACCTTGGATATTTAATAGATCCAAAGCGAGTTTTCTTTTCAGAAATTCGGGATGATAATCCTCTTGATTGTCTTGTTGAAAGGCTAAACATTGCTAGAGTACCTCTAAATGTACACCATCAAATTGCACATTTTCTTTCTTTGTCTTTTGTTCTCTTTTCTTTTTTTTCAGTCGTGTTCTTGTGTGTGGTAAATTTTTACTTGTGTGTTTATTTACAGATGGATTTGGATGCCAAGAAGAAATTAATCCCACCCTGTGATTATTACTGTGATACGCTGTATCTTCTGCCATACTCCACATTCGTTAACTTGCCATCAGGTTATTCTCTTATCTGTATCCTTTTCTTTGTTAACGATCAATTCAGATTGCTTCTCATAACTGGTGCATTAACTCAGAGAGTCGAGAAGCTGCTAGTGAGACATCATCAACCATATCTTCTGAGGTGGACGTAAAAGGAAGATCTGTGCATAACTCTATGCTTGAAGAAGTTTCTCAAGTTGAAGAACATAAAGAACAAGAGGTCAAATTACTAGATTTATACTCAGGTTGTGGTGCAATGTCAACTGGTTTGTGTCACGGTGGAATTTTGTCTGGTTTGAACCTTGTAACTGTAAGTCATCTCTTTACCAAAAATTTCACAACATACATTTATATTTTTATTGCCTCTCTTAATTTTGACCTGATATTAGCTTCTCGTTTTTTAATAGAAATGGGCTGTGGACCTGAACAGATATGCTTCTCAGTGTCTGGAAATGAACCATCCTGAAACAGAGGTATCTATCATTATTTATTTGTTGTTTTACGCATGAATTTACTTTTTAGCTGTGACTGATACTGTGCCGTGATGTTCTTGTATGCTAACTTCTACACATCTTTACCTTGCAAACCAGGTTAGAAACGAAATGGCTGAAAATTTCCTATCATTATTGAAGGAGTGGGAGAAACTATGTAATTATTTTTCTTTGATCAAAAGCAATGTACCTCATCAATACGATGATCTCTTTAGCGCAGCAGAAGAAGAAGATGATGATACCGACAGTGAAGAAGATGAAAGTGATGAAGAAGGTGAAGTATTTGAAGTTTCAAAAGTGCTTGCTATATGCTATGGTGATCCAAATAACAAAAAAGAGCAGGGTTTGTACTTGAAGGTTTGTTCACCTTGTATTTTTGTCTTTCAATTGATTAAACTTATACTGTCACCCTGCTTTCATTGTCTTCTACTACTGAAGTTGAAAACACTTTTGTTTATTTTAATATGTTCATATAGGTCAGCTGGAAGGGTTATGATTCTGACGAAGACACTTGGGAGCCAATTGAGGGTCTAAGGTAAGAGAAAATATGAATAATCTTAAAACGATGTCATATGCTGTATGTAGTTATTCATGTAAATGCATGCAGTGCACATTGCAATTTAATTCAGCAAAATAATGTAGTCCAAATTTGAAGGTAACTGATATGGATGGTTAGTTTGAATGGTCGGAATCCTACTATCGATGCAAATTTTGAAGTTTTTGAATATAGCTTATTTAAACTTACAAATTGGTGTATCTTATGGAATGATGAGTTGAACTCAATATGACCGCAAAGTGGCTTTGTATGTTGGTGCACTTTTGCTTAAATAAATAATTTTAGCCACCCAATAATTTGGTCTAATGAAGTTTGACTTTTAGACAAGCCTTGCGATGCCAAATTGGACTGTATCTGGTTTTTTCCCAGTGCTTCCATCGTTTATATAACGATTCGAACTTAACTTATTTAAGTATTGGTTTTACTACAGTAATTGCAAGAAAACTATAAAGGAATTTGTCATTGAAGGCTTCAACAAGAAGATCTTACCTTTACCAGTAAGTTTGGCTTGAATTGTACAAACGAAAAGGCTGAAGTTATTGTTCAGTGTTTGACTTTTCTACCATCACATCTGATATTTAGGGAGATGCTGATGTGATTTGTGGCGGACCCCCATGCCAAGGCATTAGTGGTTTTAACCGCTTCCGGAACAAAGAAAGCCCTTTGAGCGATGAAAAAAATAAGCAACTTGTTGTATTCATGGACATTGTAGAATACTTGAAGCCCAAGTTTGTATTGATGGAAAACGTCGTCGATCTTGTGAAGTTTTCTAATGGATTTCTTGGGAGGTATGCATTGGGTCGGTTGCTTCAGATGAACTATCAAAGTCGCATGGGAATAATGGCCGCTGGCGCCTACGGTCTCCCCCAGTTTCGCCTTCGTGTTTTTCTTTGGGGGGCCCGTCCTTCTGAGGTACAGTAGTAATTTGTGTCTTTTTGTCTTGAAGTTCTTTTTTTTTTGGAGCTGAGTCTTGAAGTTCATGTCAATTGTTTTTTTATTCACTTGATGCAGAAGCTTCCTCAGTTTCCACTTCCAACTCATGATGTTGTAGTAAGAGGCGTCATTCCTTTAGAGTTTGAGGTAATTATACATCTAGGAAATTTCTTAGCTATCTAGATTTGTACCTTTTGATTGAGGTGATTTGCTGAATGACACATCATATGCAGACAAGTCTTGTTGGTCATGACGCGGGAGCAGATGTCCAGTTGCAGAAAAAGCTTTTGTTACAAGATGCAATCTCTGATCTGCCTCCTGTACGGTTTAACCATTCTGTTTGTTGTTGCTTTGTAATGACTGTTTAATAGTTGGTAAGTAACTTGTTGCCATTTTACAAGTTTTTCAGGTTGAAAATGATGAAAGTCGTGATGAGATACCCTATAGTAAACCTCCCCAGACAGAGTTTCAGCGGTTTATTAGATTAAACAGAAATGGTAATGATACATTAAATGGTTTAAGTTATTTGTTTGTAGATAGAATTTATATAGCAGTTATTTTTATGACAATTTACTCCTGTTGTGATATGCGGCTGCTAGATTAAGACGTTTGCTTTTTGCAGAAATGTTAGGTATTCCAGAGAGTTCAAAATCAATAAAGAAGATGATATATGATCATCGTCCACTTGAATTAAATAACGACGATTATCAACGCGTGTGTCAGATCCCCAAAAGAAAGGTTCTTTATCTAATGGACATACTTATTTCAAGAAAAATGTTGTTCATACAAAAGATCATAATGTTAATTTTCAGCATTGGTTATTTTTTGCCCACTAGGGTGCAAATTTCAGGGACTTGCCTGGTGTACGTGTGCGATCAGATAACAGGGTTGAATGGGACCCTGATGTAGAACGTGTATATTTAGAATCAGGAAAGCCACTGGTAATAAGCTTGTGTGCTTATCCATTCATGAATTCTCCTATGATTTTTCATTCTATAATTCTATGATGTTTGATCTTTATCTCTACTTTGTTTCTTGAATTGTTTCCATAGGTTCCAGATTATGCCATGTCCTTTATTAATGGTTCTTCATCCAAGTAAGTAATCCTTATGATGATTTGGATCCAACGTTTTGGTACTTAGTTAATTTGATTGTAGAAAGGGCCTAGTTTTCGAAACACTGATGTTGGAGTGGTTTTGTTGATATGTTTAGACCATTTGCAAGATTGTGGTGGGATGAAACCATACCAACTGTTGTGACAAGAGCAGAGCCACATAATCAAGTATGCTGAGTACAAATTATCTGGTTCAAATTTATGAATGGTAACTTTTCTCTGAAAAAAGAGAAAATTGGGGAAAAGTACCCCGTGACAAATTTTATCAATGAGAAGGACCCGATAAATTTTCAATGGAGGATTTTCCCTCAATTTTCCGAAAAAAGGGGGAAATATCTTTGTTTTTCCTCAAGCATTTTGACCTTAAGAATATGTTATAATGTAGAACTCTTTGTTTTTCAATAGGCAATTCTACACCCGGAACAAGACAGAGTGCTGACCGTTCGTGAAAATGCAAGACTTCAAGGTTTCCCAGATTACTATCAACTCTACGGGCCTGTCAAAGAGAGGTAACTGTCTCATGATGATATTTAAATCTGATTAACTAGCTAACAGTTACCTAGCATTTTAAGAATAAAAATCAACTTTAGCACGCCATGAAAATGTTGGAGAGCAAACTGTGTGTGTTGGTATTGTTTTTAGGTACATTCAAATTGGTAATGCAGTTGCATTTCCGGTGGCACGAGCTCTTGGATTTTCTTTAGGGCTTGCATTTCAAGGATCTGCGGGTGATGATCCTTTGTTTAAGTTGCCTGATAAATACCCCAAAATGAAGGAATCCGTTACTTCTGAATCATCAGAAGATCATGTTTAGAAGTATTCACACAATGATTTCCCATAATTTGGGAATTGATTCAGAAAGATTCATTCTGAATCATCACAAAATTAAATGTTCTTCCCATTCATGGGGATTTGAAAATGATCCTGTAATTTAGTTCCTAAATTTCTCATTTGAATATGTGCTTCAATATGACCTAATGTGTAATTTATTCATCTTTCTTGTATTGTTAAAAATTTGTACTAGAAACATTCTTTATTGTCGAGTAGCGTTCAATTTATTATTTCACTAGAAGTGGTAATTATCATATTATGGGTTTAGTACATAAAATGAAATAAAGTAAAAAAAAAAAATTGTACATAATAACTTGTAAAAATTATCACAATTATATAAGTATTTGCAAATATGTCATAGGTTGTTTTTATTATTATTAATAAAACAAGTCAATCTTGTGGAAGGATTAAATTTACAAGGGTTTCTTTTTTTGCATTTTGTATTTCAAGAAGGATTAATTTCTACCACTGGAAGAAGGTTCTTATTTTTACCAAAAAAATATTTTCAAATAAAGCTAGTCAAGGGTTTTACCGGGAGCCTGGGGCCTATTGACGTTGCCAGGAAAACAAAACGGAATTCGAATTTTTGCTGACAAGGATGGAACAAAACATTAGGTCTGTTTGGAACAGCTTATAAGTAGTTTTTTAATACTCCTCCAGTCCTAAATGTAAGATTCTTATACACTCTAGTATAAGGGTTTTACATTTAGGACCGGAGGAGTAGTAATTTATGAAATATGAGATAAGTATGTGAGAGAAATTTTATCTCGATTTATGTTAAATGTGTTTATAGGGGATTTTTTAAACCTTTCCAAACAGACACATTGAATCTTAACCATAAATTAAGTCAACTTGCCGAGTCTTGAGAGTGATTTTCACGTTAAAGGACATTTTGTATAAAAGGTCATGATTTTGATTGGAACGATTTCAAATTCAATTGTTATCCAACTAACCCCCTACTTTAGAATCCAAACTTTCGAATCGTTGAGGGCATTTCCCGAAGAAGACGTGATAGGCGAAGACATATACAATACGAGGGTTTCAGGTCTTTGGTTGCTTCTCAAAGTCTCGCATGTTACCAGAAACAGAGTACCAAAATAGCAACATGTCATGTCATCACTCTTTCCGCTGTGCATGGCATCAAGAGTGGAGGAAACATATATATTACCTAAATATTAGCCACTGCTAAGATTTTCATCATAGTGATCCTCAGGTCTTTTTTTGTTTTTTGGGTTGGGGTGGGTGTGAATGAGATATAAAGAGTGAAATCCACTGTGCAATAATTGTGAGAGTCAATGACAAGGAAAGGCATGGTGGAAAGAGATCCCCGCTGAAACAACACAGCACCTGTTTGCATTCTGCAGCAAGTGGGTTGCTTTTTGGGGCCATCATGTCCGATTCAACCTGGTCCCTACATTGTTCTTTCCTTTTCAACCAAAAATTTACTTTGATTTCAAACTTGAAACAGAGCCCTAATTTCCCTATTTTCCCTTTGCTTGTCTTATCTTGATCCTCTCTCCAACACACTGATGCTCGATTTCAAACCTAAACTGGGGGTGTTTGGATAGAAACCAAATCATAGTTTCAGAAGTGCTTTTACGAATTACAAAGTAAATATGTGAAGGAAATTACCTCGTTTTACGAAAAAGTGCTTCTGAAACCATGGTTTTGGGTTTCCCAAATACCCCGTATTTTATTTTAAAGCCGAGGTTAAATTTGAAAGCTATGGGATTTCAGTGGTAGGTAGGTGAAGAAAGATGGATAGATAAGAGGAGAAATAAATGGAAAAAAAGGGGCCACATGGCGAGGGGGAAAGCAAAAGCTGGCAAAAGCCAGTGCTCAATTCGGTGGCACACTTCCACATCAACCCCACCATTCTGTGGGTCTCTTCTTATTCATTCTTCTAAACGCCATTCTAATCACTTCCTTAATACCCTCATTTAATTTTCTAGTTTTGCCTTTTTTTTTCTTAGCACCACTAAATATCAGATTATATATAAAGATGATATTATGACAATAATTAAGTAACTTTAAACATATCATCTTCTTTTATTGGTTGTCATGACCCAATGATTGAGAGAGGAGTTTAAATCAATTGTTTATGCAATCTTAGTAAAAATGTTGTCATTCAATCAAACTCCTCCATTAGAGTGAGTTTGTTTTATTTTTTCCAACATCCCTCTCACTCATTGGACAGAAAGGCTATCTGCATATTAATATATCTACATATAAAAAAAATATATTACGTCCGGTCATTAATATAACATCCAATTGATTAATTTTGAGAGATTAAAGTAGTTAAATAAACTACTTTAAAGTATTATATTTATTTTTTTCAAATTAATATGTCTAATTTATAAATTGATATACAATCTAATAATACATATAAGTATGTCAAAGTGATTATGCAACATATGTTATAATTAAATAATTTATCAAGCCTTTTAATCTTTAAATTAATCAATTAGGTCTTACATTAAAAGGCGAATATAGTATTATTTACAAATTTTAGTTAAAAAAAATTGTATTTATGAATTGTAAATTGAATAACTCGTGCAGGATCATACTGAGCTGTGTATTTGCAAGTCTTGGACAACATGTACACGCATTCTCACGAAATTTAAACACCCCACGTGATGTGTGGAATTTTCTTACTTTCTTTCTTCCCTTCTTTGGTTTTTTTTTGGTGGTTTGGAAGAAGGCGGGGCATCCCAAAAACGATCAACAAGATATTTACTTACTAAGATTTAAAATTTAATAGACAAGTTGAATTGTCTGCTAATGTCTCTTTCACAGTTAAATTTTTGTCCATATTATCAAAAAAAAATAATAGTGGTATTAGTAAGTACTGTCTCCTGTTTTCTATAACGCTGTAATATTGAAACTCCGTCTAATTTTTGTGTGGAAATTGAATGTCTATGTGCACACAGAAGCCAGCTGTGATAAGAATATTAGTGGGGATCTGGAATATAATCTTTTGTTGAGGTGTTGCCCCGCTCAATTGGCTCACGTGCTCAACGTTTTATTTATTGATCCCACCTACGAAGCGTTTGAATATTATAAAAAGTGCTTTTTAAAAATATTTTTTCACATATCGAGATAAATTTCTCCACATATTTATTTTGTATACACTTCTGAAACTATAGTTTAGTTTCTATCCAAATATTTTTTTAGTTGCGACAGGAAGGTGGTTTGGTTGGGTCAGATTCAAACACTATCAAGTACAATGGACAGTAATTTAAATTGGAGACTTCTTACTTAAATGGCTTAAGCCTCCTCAACTAGATCTATAGCCTATTGATATGATTTTGGTTAAGGTATAGACATAGATTTGGTTTTTTGAGTTTATATCAAGTTTTATTTTAATCTCTTGAGTTTATATAGTGACCCCTCCACGGATGCAACGCCGTTGTAAATTTAGCCTCTCTTTGTTCTCTAATTGCCCCTCCCGCCATTTCCCACTACTGGGGACAAGATGGCCTCCTCATGTTCTTCTTTTTCGGCCTTGACCTGACATCTCATCGGCCTCTTATCCTTCCTCCTCAACGGCAATGCGATGTCTTCCCTAAAGCTTAGAACCGAGTCCCCTGATTCTGTTGTTTCTTTCTTTGGACCTTCGTTTTTTTTTTTTTTTAACACTTCAAGCGATAACAAAGTCCCATGTTATAATAATCCTAATGACATACTATCTCCGGTTGTAAATCTAAGAGCTGGTTAGCGATTCTAAATATAAGGTTTGGTCCAATCCCTTTTATCTCCCAAATTTATAATGTGTTTTTAAAAATATTCTTATTGATTGTAATATATTTCTACCCAAATGTATATGATCAAATAAGGATACTTTAAAAAAGTCAACACATATTTATTATAAATAATTAATTTAACTAATTTTTTTAATCATTTCAATTAGTTATCTGACTCGTGTACCAAAGATTGGAAGTGATACTAATGGCAGATAAAAATAAATTTGTATCTACTATAGCCCCTAAATTACCAAAAGATCAGTTATCTTTAGAACATAGTCGAGAACAGCTTCCACGCCCCTTGGACGATTTCATTGAAATCAGTAGGGCCTCTTCCAATCTTGTGACAACCAACTCGGACGCTATTGATTAAGAGCTGCGTCCGATAGATCAGGATGAAGCACGTGAGGAGGAGACGCCATTGTGACAGAGGAGAAGACCCTTTTTTGTTTTTATTTTAACTTTAAAATATGAAAATCATTATATTAAGTAATTAAAATTTCAGCCTGATTTATCATCATTTAATTGTTGAATCAGCATTTTCTGTTAGTGAAAATTAATGGTATTGAAAATTAAACAACTAAAAATATACTAATACTTTATAAATTTATAAATTTAAGAGACTAAAACAAAATCTGACATAAACTCAAATGTCTAAGTTTATACTTTAACTTTTTGAGTCTTTCATTGGTGACTAAGCATCCTGAGCAATTCAAAAATGGATTCTTACAATAATTATGAGAGAAATTTAACATTGACATGAGACACACTCATATGAAAAAGAAATTAAGGTATGGATGCTTGTAATTGGGATTAGGAATATATAAATAAGAGCAGGATCTTGAATCTGGGGGAAGAAGACGCTTCCCCAGGGATCCCCCACAGGCACATGGCCATTCCTTAAAACCAGATTATGATGCCACGTCTTTCTTAAAATTCCACCATTACAGTATTGATTGTCACGTTATGACTCTCTCTCCTCTGTCTCTAAGGGTGTGTTTGGTTAGAGGGGAGGGGAAATGAGCCCCTCCCCTCATTTGGTTAAAAATTTTGGAGGGGAGGGGAGCTAAAATGTCCCCTCCCTCCCCCCATTTTGGCTCCCCTCCAAATTGGGAGTTTTTGGAGGGCAGCCAAAATTTTGGACCATTATGTCCTTATGATTTTTTTAATATTTCACTTCTACCCATAAAATATATTATTATAATATTTATTTCAAATAAAAAATATATTATCCTAAGTAAAAAAATAAAAATTATTTAAATAAAAAATTATTTAAATAAAAAATTATAATATTATAAAATTAATTGTTTTTTTATAAATATATTATTTATTAAATATATTTTAAAGCTGGAAAAAAGATAGCCTAAAGAAAATAAAATTTCATTTTTCTTAGAGCATATAAAATTTGTTAATTTGATTATTTTAAATATATTATTATATTAATTAGAATGAAAAATTACTATACCAATTTTTTAATACACATATTAACATGATAAGACTGAATTTTGATTAAATTATATAATTTAAATTAAGATATAAATTAATTTATATAATATATCAATAAAAAACATAAACTAATATATAAGGGTAAAATGGTAAATTGATTATTACTATCCCTCCTCCCCTCCCCTCCTTGAACCAAACAAGGGATCATTAAATACCCTCCCCTCCCCTCCCCTCCTTTTTAATCAAACCAAACAAGGTGAGGATGAAACCTCCCCTCCCCTCCCCTCCCCTACCCCTCCCCTCAAACCAAACAGGCCCTAAAATGTCCACTGCTCCGCTCTTCTCCTTCCAGACGGCTTCACCTAACATTCTCCCTTCCTAACGTTCTCCTCAGTCAAGTGCAGCTGTTCATCCTTTTCCCCTTATCATCTCCTCAACTTTGGATATGCTCCTCCGCTCCAGAATATACATCCATTTCTCTCAACCTGATTGACTTGGTTCAAAATACTATCTCCTATCCTAAATACTCCTCCAGTTTTAAATATAAGAGTCTTATATTTAGGACCGGAGGAGTATACAAAATCTCATTGGTAAAACTAAATCTTATACTTAAGATCAAAGTTACTTGTGATATTTGTCAAACAGATGCTAATGAGTGAAAACAAAAGTATAAACAGAGTATGAATAAGATGCAATAATCATCAGAATGGCAGCTGAAAATGAGAGGGAGGAATTAGGTTAAAAAGGAGGAATGATTGAGATGGAAAAGGGAGGGATTTTGCCGAACAGACAGGAGTGGAGGCATGTGCAAGGCTGTCCGGAGCACAAATCCAAACACCAAACTCGCGAAAAGCCGCTTTTATTTATTATTTATTTATTTATTGGACAAACAAAATGAAATATTCGGATCCTCGAAAAAGCATCTTTCCCCTATCGAATCCGCACGGGACGCCTTCCCGTTGTGAGGGTCCCTTTCCCTCCCTCCCCATTCCATAACCACCAATCCAAACGGTCTCTCCTCTCTCTCTCCTCGGCTTAATGAATAATTTTCTTATTTATCAGCCGAGTAAATTTCAAAATTTTTTATAAGAAATTATATAAAAAAATATTTTAAAAATAAAAAAATTACTATGAAAGTTTTTCTTAATTATTTTATAATTATATAACAAACTATTTTAAAAAAATAAAAAATTACTATGAAAGTTTTTCTCAATTATTTTATAATGTAATAATTTCTTTAAAAATCTTGCACAGTTTAAAAGTTATAATATTTGAAAAAAAAGAAAATATATGTCATTTTTGTGATGTAAACGGATATTTATATAAGTTCTAAAAATGGTTTAATTTAATAATTAAAGTATTTCAAAAACAAAAATTATGCAGATTTAAATTTCAGCGAGGGGGTGAGAGAGGGGGGGGGGGAGAGAGAGAGAGAGAGAGAGATTGTGTGGTCAAATAGGAGAGACAGTGTCTTCCAAATATAAAATGAGGCGTTGTCTCTCTCACTCAATCTCTCTCCATTTCCAAACACTCCTCTCCGTTCTCTCCCGCTTCCGTATCTCAAATGCTGTGCAAGGCCATCTGAGAGCGACGGAGGGAGAGAAACCACCTCGCCTTCCCTCTGGCTGGCCCCTAAGGATTCTATTGTCGCCGCCATTTCAGTTTCATTCTCCCAAGCAACTGCATTCTCATACTCTTCTCTATATATAATAATCCTTTTGGGGCCTTGAAGTGGAGATAGACGGAGAGAGAAGGGTCACAATGCCTTCCTTCGGGCCTTTCGATTTGTTTCTCTTCTCTCTCAGCAGAGCCTTGTGCAGTCCAGCCGCTGTTTTCATTCAGATCCAGGTTACGTTTTTCCCGTCATTTTGTTTTTTTGTTCCCCTCCCTTTTCTTGCTGCTCTGGATCCAGGTCCCTTTCTTTGTGCTTAAATGCACCTGCTGTAAATTTTAATTCTGATTCTGAGTAATTATTTTAATAAATGAACTTAAGACCTTCCTTTGGATGGGATTCAGTTGAGCTGGAGTAATTTTTCCCAATTGTATGCTTTTTTTTTTCTTTTTAATTTTTTGAAATGATAGTTATGTGCTGTCTCTTGGGCTTGTTGATGGTGAAAGCTCCTGAATGAAAAATTATAATTTCTTTTTTGCTAAATAGTTTCTTAGCTATTCAGCACTCGACATATTGCTTGAGTTTTATTTTGACGATCGCGGGTTTTGGGAGACGTATGCACACTGTCTCAGTGGCAAGTTCATCCTGGATTCACGTTCGGTAGTGATTCATTCTGGTTGCTGGAGATGATTATCTTTTGGATTAGAAAATTTAGTCTGGGGCAATGGCAAGGGGCGTGGAATGTAAGTTTTTCGTTAGAAGTGAACTCAATTTTGCTACTGCCAGAAAGATGATCAATGGTTTCGCTTTGGCTTTGTAAGTGCTGCCTTGATTCTAAACGTTAACTTTGGATTCTTTAGCTATACAGTCTCGCGTGCCTCTGCTGCCTCCGAGGAATTTGTTCTAATTTTTTCTGTTTGTGTTTAAATTTGGTCCTCCAGTATAGTGTGGATAGGTATCGGCTTGCAGTTGTTTATCCCTGTATGCAATGTTTACCTGTGATTTTAAATTCCAATATGGTGATTGCCCAAAAGTGCTGATCAATATGGGCATTTCGGACTGCCATTGTGGCTGGCTGTAGAAATTACCGCAACAGTAATATCACTGCTGCAATTGTGGCTCGGAGTGCAGCTTATAAATTTCAAAATTGAGATCCATGATCCTCAAAGTTGAGAATTCTGATTGTCTCAACGCCTGATGAAGAATACACTTTATGTCTAGCAACATATTGGAGATGGGAAGTTCCGCTTGTGATTTTTAAGGGGGTTTTTGGAATTAATTGCTACTCTTCTCAGGCTTAGGGATGTCAAGCTTCTGGCTGCTAATGTAGTAAGATGGTTTAGTTATTCTGGTTGAGGAATGGAAGGTGAAGGGAAAACCAGCTTCTATGGACTTTATGTCACTCTTTAGGATGCATAGGTGGCTTCACTGATCTAATGTTGTGCCTCCCAGTGTAAATATTGCCATTTTCCTGATAAGAACAATTCCACTATGGCATATTAGCATTTCTGTGGAGTTCGCTTTAGCCCAGAGGTTCTTGTAGTTCTTGTGTCATGTAGAGTGTAAGGGCTTATAAAACAACTTTTGAAAATGATACTTGTTGAATGAAATGGAATTAGTGGAGGGGCAAATTCAGCTTCAACTTTCTGATCCAGATTTTATGATTGTATGTTACCACCATCAGGAGTATCGTTATATAACTTTTACCTTTCAGTTGCATCATTGCATGATAATTGTCGGCATCAGGATAAGGTGGCATGAGAGCTTGGCTTTTATTTCTCTCCCTTTGTTGCTCAAGTTAAAATATACAATGACAGCATGTGAATCCTATTTTTTATGTGTCCTCTGCAGGGATGTGTAATTTGCTTAGCCCTTGCCATTGGGTGGGCTGGTGCTTCGTATGTCAGGTATCTATTTTCATTGCTGTAAAACAGAGTCAAGGAACAAGTTTTAATAATATTTCAATGAGATCTTTAAAGCATCTGTTTTTGTTCTTACAGGAACAGAGAGATTAAAAAAATGAAGGATGGTATGCGGAAGAAGAACAGTTTTGCTTTCCTTTACCATGACATAAATCAACTTGAGCACTCCAATCAAGTCAATCTGCCAAGGGTGACAGTGATTATGCCCCTTAAAGGGTTTGGTGAACACAATTTACATAATTGGAGAAGCCAGGTGAGAATTTATGCACCTCTGGAACTTTATGGGAAAAAAAACTTAATTTTACCCTTTTGGGTAGTATTTATATGTGTTCTTTGTTGGTCCCTTTATCTATATCAAGTTTTGGCTTGACATCTAAGTGAATACTACATTTATTTAGGCATTTTATATCCCTTTTTCGTTCCCTCAGTATTTCTAACTTTTAGAAAAATCCACTATATTCCTTCAAATTATATTTGATTGATAACATTTAATTGTTAATTGTCGTGTTTTGAATATCTTTTTGATTTAACCATGAGGTATGGTTGTCATCCAATGTTATGGCATCTTTCCGACCTTTTCTAAGCCTATCCTTTAATAGAAAAGTTTTGTTCAATATAGTTATACTCTTTTACAAATGCAGATCACATCTCTTTATGGTGGACCTGTAGAATTTCTTTTTGTGGTAGAAAGTACAGAGGATCCTGCTTATCATGCTGTATCGCGACTAATATCAGAATTTGAGGTATAAACTAATCATTGCATTCATATCAAAATTTTCCTAATATTTCTTTGTAAAAAGGTGATGTTGTGTCATATCTTGTATAAACGCATCTGATCTAGTTTACGTTCTTCCTTGGCATTTCTGGAAGAGTAGAATTTTGAGGCTGGGTTCTGTTCCCTTCGGTATATTTGCAGTTCTCTGTTGCTGTTTTAAACCTTCTTTCCTTGTATGATTAAAGCTAAACGTCCTCCTGTTAGTTATTCTTCGACTTGGATATGAGGTGCCTGTTAACTGTATCCAGGATCACGTTGATGCTAAGATTGTTGTAGCTGGTTTGTCAACAACATGTACTCAGAAAATTCACAATCAATTGGTAGGTACTATTTTACATACAATTTAATAGTCTTTTTTAGTGCAAAGTAGGGCCTTGCCAAATAGGGATATATTGTCTTGCCATCCTACATCACCAATTTCTTGGTGAAAAATGTGACGTGTTTTGGTTTTTTCATTGATTAGTTGTTGTAAAATATTTTCCCTGTATGTACTTAGTTGGCAAATGAATGTTTAAATGAGCAGTGATAGATTTTTGCTCATTATGTTGGAAAATGGTGGGTTGTTTTTTTCAAGTGGATTTTGTCAGAAGTGTTTTACCAATTATGTTAATAATGCATACTGTCTGTATCTGGACAGGTTGGAGTGGAGACAATGCATAAAGACAGCAAGTATGTGTTGTTTCTGGATGATGATGTTAGGCTACATCCTGGGTCTATAGGAGCGCTTACTTATGAGATGGAAAAGAACCCAGAGGTACAACACCTTTTTTTTTTTTTTTGCCTGGCATTTTGGTCACTATTTTTGGTGTCTGATTCGAATAATTATGGCTCCCTTTGTTTAACTGTTTGATTGTGTTCTTAACTGTTTTGATTACCCACAGATATTTATTCAAACAGGATACCCTCTTGACCTGCCATCTGGAAGCCTGGGAAGTTACTGCATCTATGAATACCATATGGTACGCTGCTGGCACTTGCTGTATGTAACTAATTTCTGCTGCTTCACTGTGTATAAGATCATGTTCTTCCGTTTGCCTTTTGTTAAAGCCTTTAGCTGTTTCAATACATATGAAGCTTTGCTAAACAAATTTGTCTATGGTCATGGATACTTCATCTGTATGCTAGAAGTAGGCTGTTATCATTATGACTCTTAAGAGGTGAGAATGAGAGCTCTTCATTATGGTTGCTAATATTATCATATTCATATACTTATTCCAACATTTTTTTTTTTTTTTACTTTCATTTAACAGCCTTGTTCGATGGGCTTTGCCACTGGTGGAAAAACTTTCTTTCTATGGGGAGGGTGCATGATGGCAAGTAACTTCTACTACTTTTACAAATTGTGGGTGTTGCCTAAAACAACTTGCGTTCTAACTACGTAGAGTGCCCGCAGATGCATGCTGATGACTTTAGACAAGACAGATATGGTGTGGTTTCAGGACTTAGAGATGGTGGATATTCTGATGATATGACTCTTGCAGCTATAGCTGGTATATCTTCGATTCTGTTTTCAAAAGTTGCCTTGAAAAACTTTTATCATTATGTAATGCAGCTATGCCAGTATTGTGCATTGAAATAAGTGATAAAAAGATGGCTTTTTATGGTATGTTATTAGCATCTAAGAGAATTCTGCTTGTTCTTGCATGCTGTTTATACATGCACATTTTGCAGAATACTTATTGTTGTAGGACAGCTAGGAAATAAAGAAGGGAGAAGGAAAAGGAGTGAGAGATAGAAAGAAAGGAGGGAGAAATAGAGAGGAAGAGGGAGAGGAGACAGTGAATGCAAGATCTCAATTATATTCCGAAGGCTAAAAGTTTTAACAATTGAGGAAACTCTAGGGCTATTTATAGAGAGTTAGTTGCAATTATTTAAATAATATCTAAACTTATCTTACATATGATAATCTAAATCCTAATTAAAAATTTTAACTTTTTAGAATAAAGATAATCAATAAACCACAAAAATAAGCTTAATTAAGTTCTAGGTTTTTCCTTGGACTAGCAGAGGTCTTCCATTCACCATTATTTTTCTTGGAAGTAGATTTCTCTTGGTTGATATTTTCTTCAGTAGATTGATGTCCTTATTCTGTCTTTCATGTTCTATCACGCAGAGGTCCTTATATATGTTTTATTTTGTTTCTAGTTGTTTATTATGTTTTCTCTTTCAGGGGCTCACAAAAGTCTCATTACGTCTCCTCCAGTTGCTGTCTTTCCACATCCCCTTGCAAGTGATCTTAATTTTGGAAGGTCTGTGATTATTGTTTATTTTAAACCAATATGTCAAACTATCTGTACCCTATGGTCCAGCGGACAAATTGAGTGATGCTCTATGTTTATCGAAAATTCTCTTGTTTATTATAACTGTATGTTTATTTTTATACAAAATGTACAGGTACTGGAATTATTTGAGGAAACAGACTTTTGTTTTGGAGTCATACACAACAAAAGTGAACTGGATGATGAACCGTGCACTATTTACATCCCACTGCTATCTGTCATGGGGATTTGTAGCACCATATTTTATGGCAACAATTCATGTTGCGGCAGCGCTTAGATCTCATGTTAAAGGATACTCACTTGAAGAATTGACTCACACTACTGTTGGTGAGCCCACTACTTTTGCTGTCTAGATAGTTCTTAAGTTAGATGTAACCAGAGTCAGTATTCTGACGCTGAATGAAGGTTATTGTTAAACTATTGGCTAGATTGCACATAACTCATGAGTTATATATATTCCTCTAGATTCTTACTGTGCTCATAACCCCATGTCATGAGTTTTTCTGTTATTCCACTAACAGGATGTGAAATGTCCGGCAATTATTTGTGCTTGATTTTAAGTTGAGGGGATTATATGCGCATAATACAAGTTGAGGGGGTTATCCACACAAAAAATGAACCTTGCAAGAGTTCAGCATCATTGACATATCACATTCCATTTAGGAATAGAATGGACTAATAGTAAGGAAATTATTTGCACGCTAATTATATAGGAATTCATTGCTAGTTTTGTTTGTTTGAGGATGATCTTCACGACTCAAAAGTGCAAGAAGACTTAGCCTTACCTAAGTGTCAGGACTTGCTATTCATCACTAGCCTGAGGCTTTATTCAAACACACAGACTGTTATGTAATATCACTTTTGTGGAATATTTTTTAGGGAGAATTACAATGAGGTCCCAAGCAAGAAAAACAATTAAAAAACAAGTCTCAGAGATTGTCATTCTCACTATAGGACTTGTCATTATAGGCTGTTGAGGTTGTTATTGAGACTTTTAGTAATTATTTCTCTTCTGTGGGACTTGATTGTAATTCCTTCTATTTTTTATAGAAAAAGAAAGAGAAATGCACTTCCTGGGGTTTGAATTTGTGTTCTCTTCCTTATAGGATGAGATTGCTTATGATCTCAAATCAAAAGTGACTTGAGGATACTAAGTTATACTCAAAAAAAAAAAAAAAGAGAGAGAGAGAGAAAGAGAAAGAGAAATGGAATATATTGTTCCAACAATTCAGTCAGATCATTTTAATTTCAACCATTACACCCCTTTGTAGTTGCATTTGAATTTATACATTTCATGATATGTAGACAAGACCTGTGAAAAATAAATTAAAAGTTGCAGAAATGCACTGTTTAGTTTGACTTTGTATTTTGAACTTTACATTTTGGTTCTTGTATTTTGATGTACTTTCTTTGCCCAGGGTTACCACTGGTGAGCTTACTAGCCATATGCACTATAATTGAACTTCTTTCAATGTGGAACTTGACGAGGATCGAAGTTCAATTGTGCAACATGTTGTCTCCGGAGGCACCCCAACTTTCGCTTGCTTCCTATAACTGGTTTCTTGTGAGTATATTGGCTTTGCCTCACGCATGATTTATACTCAACCCGATGTCTTGTACTCTTTCATTTCTCCTGTAGCTTTTCAGGCTTTCTGCTAAATCCTAATAATTTTCAATTTAACAGCGACTCAGTGATTTAGGACTTAAAGTATAATATGCCACATAGCGAAAGGAAAGTGAATTGTCTGGTTACTGATTGGCAGAGTAATGAACGTATTTCCGCCAAAAAAAGTAACTTTTTATCTATTGAGCAGGTGTTCATTGCAATGCTGGTGGATAATTTTCTATACCCTATCTCTGCAATTCGTTCTCATTTTTCTCAGTCTATCAATTGGTCTGGCATTCGGTATTATTTGAAAGATGGAAAAATAAGCAAGGTAAGTTGGTCATGTCTTCATTTTTAATTGAGTAAGCAATTTCCCCCTATTTTAGCAGACGCAGAACTATATGCTATTTAAGTACTAGATTCATGAGGCTTCTCTAGATGGCACCCAAAAGAAAAAATTCTACATTTTTCTTTGTGAAGATGTTGAGGTTGGTAACCCTGATTGAGATTATGTTCTGTGATATATGACAATCATGGCGCTTAGGAGTGGCTTACTGATTGAATTGCTTTCAGGCTAGCCATTGATATTTCCGTCTCTAGTTCATGAACTGATGCAGCTGTTTACTGTGTTTATGGACCAAAATGATTTTGTATATGTGCAGATTGAACGAACTGAAAGAAGCAAGGATATGGATCCGGTATTCACAGACTTGGGAGGAAAACATTTATACGGCAGGAAGGGATTACCAGCCAGAGAGTCATTCCTCAATTCTTTGTCCCGAAGTTTGGCGCAATGGCGTCAGCCAAAAAAGTTTGATAACTAGGAAATGCTTCATTTTGTGTCTCTCCACCATTTTAGGTTTTGTGGGCAGCATGAGCTTAGGAAGTATACGGGTACTGGGTTGACCAATTGGTCATATTTATTGTCTCATGCATTCATGATTTATTCATTGATTTTGAAGGGTGTTAGGAAATCCTAGGTCCATTCAGTCCATCATTCTTCAACTTCATCCCCTTCCTATTTAGGGTTCATCTTGTAGTTGTAATGATTCAGTTCTCAGTTTATACACAACTTTGACCTTGTGCTAATATCCCAAGCTCTTGAAAAATTACTTATAAAAACCTTTCGTTCTGGCTTACGTAAAACCAGCAATAGAAATGGGAAAATTTAGGTGCTATAAGCGGTGATCTGTGGAGAAAATAAAAGCAAAAGTGCAGGATGTTTTATCTATTTATTGTTTTTGGATACATGTTTTGTCTAATTTTTAAATTGTACAATCTACTCTTCTCACTGTTTCAATCCCTTCCACAAACGGAATGGGCTAGCATGCATTTTGTGAAAACTATAAAAAGCCCTGAATCCATTAAACTCGCATGACGTTGAGTTCTCCGCTTCAAACGTTGTATTTGGATTACCCCTTGTCTGTGGGCTCAGGTGGTGGAGGGTCAGACTCTCATAAAAAAAAAAGAGTTCGATCCTAGAAAGTGTCACTTTATTATAGCTCCAAACGTGGTACTGAGAGAGGCATTACCACAGCGTAATAAAACTGCTTATTATGCTCTTATGCCTGTAAGGACAGGTTCCAGTGGATCAAGCGTTAAATGTTCTGTTTTTAGATCGTGGATGAATCCAACTTTTTTCCTAAAATTTTTTACCGAAAAAAAACCTTGTATTTGGATTGAGAGAGAGAAGTTTTGATGAGTCGAATATTTTCGAAAAAGAAAAGTGGGTTGAAAGTTTGGAAAATTTAATATACAATTTCTTAAATTTCACAATATTATTAATTAGTTTTTTTCCCTTATAGTTTCTTAATTATAGGTATTAGTTTCTATATTCATGGTTTGTTAATTTGTAAGCAACAATGTTATCAGCTCCTTATATAAATTTCACTTAACATATAACTCAATTAATTTTGTCCCAAATTTAAATAAAATCAAAATCAAGCAAATACAAATTTTATATAGATGCAAATGCGAGACGATGGCTATGAGATAATGATTTCTCACTTTTACACTTATAATATTTTATTTCATCATTTGAGTTTGAAAAACTTATACTTTATATTGTGTTGTGTGAATTCTTATACTTTATGTTTTGTATCAATTTATATTTGTATGTCTTTGAATAAGTGTTTATAAGAATTAATGCTTATAATTAAGAAAATAAAAAATTACAAAGATTTGATTAAAAATCAACTGAAATTACAGTTGTTGACAAATTAATTTTCCAAATTAAAAGTAAGAAATTGTATGCCAACAATTAAAAAATAGAAATAAAAATAATGAAATGTTTCTAATTTTTTTTATTGATATACTAATGTAATAAATTTTAATTTAATTACAATTGATATTATCATTGATTTGTGATTTATCATTGGACGCATGTTTTGTTTTATCTAGATTCCTAATATTATGATTATTGATATATTACTGATCAATTTCATAATTATTAGGATTTCTTTTGTTAAGTATGTATTAACCCCATACAAGCATATAATTAATATCAATTGATTAATGGGAGAGTTAGGTCTAGAAGAGCAAATTAACGCCTGATTCTGGCAACAATAAGTTCATTCCTGACTGCCTTCGCCGGATTTGGGAGCTTGAACCTGTAGAAAGTACAAACTGTTTTTCCCTATTCGGCGGACGCCCCTCGCAGACAAACGAAGTGGAGCATGATGGAGGAAGGGACGAAGCTAAGCATTTATAGGGCAGCGAGAACCATAAAGCGAAGAGATAATACTCTCTACAATGCGTTGAGATCGATATACGAGGACTCCATTTTTGTGGGTGAGATCAATCAGTTATGGCCCGACCTCCCTCTTCTCGCCAACCTTCGCTGCGGTCTCTGGTACTCCCCCAGATTCCACTCCACCTGTTACTTCAAGTCCACCGATGGCCACACCAATAACTGGTCCTTCAACACATCTCGCCTCAATCTCCATGTTGCTCAGCTTGCTGGTACAGTGACACCTTTTTTCTTTTTATCTTTCCCGGTACTGTTTAATTGGATGCAAAATACTGTCAATGACAAGAAAAAGGAAATTTTGGTTTTTCAAATAGATGTAAGACTTTCACTGGGCTTTTTTTTTGTTGAGAAAATTAGAAAAGGTTTCTCCCTTCCCTTGTTTGTATGCAAGTTGGTGCTAATTTTACAGTTATTTCTTCTTCTTTTTTTTTCAATAGTAATTTCTTTATGCTGAGTTTGATGGAAATGTAACTTCGTCCACCCCATTTAATACGCCTTTTCTTTTGTGTTTTCGTCTGTTTTTTCTTGGGTCGATAACGATTCGGTAGGACAGAAGGGAGGTTGTTTCATTGTTGATTCCACCCGAAGAGGAAAGAGGTTTCCAGATAGCATGTCGAAAACAATACCTATATGGACATGTGTTTTGAATCGAGCGATCAGGGATTTCAGGAAGAAACTTCACGATAAAGATGCTTCAACCAATGGGGTAAGTAGGATTAGGGGAAGGCAAAAACTCTCTCCCGTAAGCATGGAAAACTTTCTTTCTATCTAAGCTATTTTTCCTTCTACCAAACACAATAAAATACTATCCGTTGCCTTTTTCCCTTCTTCAGATGACTGTTTCGTGTACCAAAAGCATTCTCAATGCCTCATGCTAGGCTTGTTTGTATTGAATTATAGTGACACAAAAAGAGGTCTGGAAAAATTTTCTGATGATTTCAATTGCACAAGTTACATGGGTGGATATCCAAGTAGGAGGGTGCAGCCCTAGCAGCTATTTAAGGAAGTAAATAAACAAAAAAAATTTACAATGAATGAGAAGTAACACATCGGATACAACAATACATTCTAACATATAGCATTTGCTCTCCTGCCATCTTGCTTGTTGTCAGGATCAAATAGGGCATGGCGCACAATGAATTTTGTCAATAGTCTATGAATAATAGTTTTGGTATCTTACCATGGATATTTCATCTTTAAGGTTATATATGTGTTGCCCTTACAATTTGTTATGTTTTGCTGCCTTCATAAACAGGATTCAAGCGCTTATGATCAATGTCAGGAGATTGTGGGAGATATGTCCCTTGACTGGGACTGTTCCTTGCATCTTCCTCTGTGGGTTTCCGAAACTGAGAAGCTTCCATTGAGGAGCGCCTTGAAGAATGGACTGAAAGGTTGAAAGAAAGTGGAGCTGATATTGCTTCTCTTTCAGCATGCTTGAAGAAGCCCTTGCGTCCTCTGTGGATTTCACAAAGAACTCTCATCTGGATAAATGAAGTGCCCGACCATGATTCTTGGGATTTTACACCCATCATACTAGTGTCCGCATCTTCCTCAACTGGCATAAGTCAGCATAGGACTACCTCTGAGTTTAGCTGGAGTTACATACCAGGCGCTGGGGATGATGAAGAAAGTTGGGCAAGGGGTTTATCTCCTAATCTTTTTTGGAATCATGTCTACGATATTATAAACTCTGGTCCTGATGTGTGTAATCAGAAAGTTGCAGATATAGTTGAAAAGAGCAGAGTATACCGTTCTTACAGAGGAGAGAATGCCCCACAGATCACAGTCAAGTCTCTTAAACCATCTTCTCTATCGCATGATGAATTGTCTGCATCTTCTGATATTTCAAACATGAACTTTGACATGTTGAGGTCTCCTGATGAAGATTCTGTAATATCTTGGCTGGGTTCAACAAATCTTTCTGTTGGACCTTCTCAATGTGGTATGCCCAGTGAACTGATGTCCTTTGTATCACTGTCTGATGCATGTTCTTGAAGGACGTCCAACCTTCATGACAACTATTTTAATTGTACAGGTTTTAGTTCAAGTGAATAGTGCTTCTCTTTTTTATTGGTTTATTTTTGGTGCAGCTGCAGAAGTGCCTGATGTTGATTGCATATTGAATTGTGATCATGAGTCCATCTCTGTCCCTCTTCGCAGTGAAGAAGCTTATCTGCATCTTCCCATTCTTGTGAGTATAAAGTGGAAGGAAAGTTTGCTTCCATTATTTCCAAGGAGGAACTTCTTATCTTAGTTTTCTGATGTCCAGACTTCAAAATGTGATCGCTTTTCCTTGTTAAACAATCTTCCTTCTGCGGTGAGCTTTGCAAAGTCGAATCTAAGTGAAGGGAAGCGACTTCTGGTTTGCTGTTCTAACGGTAAAGGCTCTTTAAAGTTCTCTCTCTCTCTCTCTCTCTCTCTATTGTTTGTTATGTTAGATATATTAGTCAATCCATTTTCGGGCCATCCTTAATCAGTCCATTCCCAACAGTTTAATTCGACAGTTCAGTTACCTAAACAAGAATTTGTGCATTACCAGATTCGACATTGATTTTTAGTTTGTTTAGGATTTGAGAACAACTTAGCCATCCTTGATAGCACTGCATTGAAAATGTTAAATGTATTTGTAATGATTGAGTGAGTATTAGGAATTTCAGGTTAGCTTCTCGTATGCTTTTCAACTTTGTAGTTCTTAACTTCCTTTATGTCTTCGGTTATGTTTTGAATGGATGACCTTCCATTCTCCTGCACAGATCTATGGATAAGGAAATCATTTTAATCTCTATCTATTCAACTTTATCATTATTTCCTACTTATTTTTTGTTGCTTTTCAGGGGAAGATATTTGTGTATGCGTTTGTCTAGCAATTTTTACCTCGTTATTCAATGAGAGAGGTACATGTCTGTGCTTTGCATTAGATACCGAAGATTAAGTTAATCTCTCGCAGTATAAAATCAACGCTTTCTGGGATCTAACGGTTTTTAAGTAATCACCTGTTTTCCTTGAAATATTTTCACCAATAAATTTAAGGTATATGCATCATTAGCATTAATATTAGTGTTCCCATAATTACTAATCACGTTCCTAAAATTGTCTCATTTTTTATGGCTAGGTAAGTATGATGGTGGAAAGTCCTTCAGCGAGACCCGTATCACCAAATTGGAGATGAGGCGGCGACTTGTATATATCTGCAAGTTTGTGACAAATGCAAGACCTTCCAGGGGCAATTTGAGGCAGGTTTTCAATTTTCTTGTCGGTCTCACTTCTCCTCAGCAAACATCAAATGACTAATTAGCCATTCCTTTTTCAAAGCTTAGTTTTACCTTGAGGATAGAGATCTACGTTACGTTATGTAAAACTAGATTTTGGGCTCCATGCAAATTGCATGGAGTCTCAAACTAGAATAGGCAGAATAATTTAAACTATAATTTGTTATTACGTACAATTTGTCATTCATGCATTCTTGTTCATGTTGTATTACTTATTAAATATGGTTGCAGGTTAAAAAAAATATTATTTCAGTCGCATCTCATTTGTCATTCTCTTCCCACATCAGTCTGTGACCTAAGAAGCTTTGTTGAATCTTTAGATTACCAAACAATAAAGGGTTAAAAATCTGACTAGCGTGGAGTCGTCTTTATAACCTATGCTTGCTGTGCCTTCCTGTAAAATCATATGGCTCATGTAAATGAACCGTCCTAATTATACCATTGTCGCCCTTAAAGCAATCATCTTAATCATACTTCATAGACCTGCTTTTGAAGTACCACCATGATGCCGCAAACAATTTGAAGTCTGATAAACGAAACCAGAAGTAAATGATGTGGGTACAACCAATTTCTTGTCGGAATCCCACTTCCCAACTTATACATCACTTTTATCGCCTAAATTAGTCTCGGAAAAGCTGTAACTAGCTTTATTTTCTCACCATCTTATCTTAACCCTTCACCAGTTCTTATATAGGGAGGGAATGCTAATCTGCACACAATCATTACACGCACATGCTCACTCTCCCTTATATCACTTGGTAGTTTGATTCCCCAACCTCTTTTTTCAGGTGTCATTAAGCTACGAGACTTTCACTTCTTATTATACATGTACTAGCTTTCCAATCACTGTTGAATAAATTACTTTTGTTGCGGAAGAAATTACTGTTGATTTTCTAACTGACCGATTTAGCTATTAAGAATGATGGTGCGCCACTTAACGCCAGCATGAAATTTTCTTACACATGGGCATCAGAATAAAGCGATTTAAAAAATGGCATGATTTGGTTTTCCCTTTTGATAATTTGCCTAATCCTCTTTGTGAACGTAGGGTGCACTTTAACTAATCAAGCAGATGATTATTTCATGATCGGTGGCACATGTTTTACATGGATTGGAAATTTAAAAAAAAAAAGAAAGCAAGTAAGTTGAGCTCCGTGAAATAAAACATTAATAAATTGTGCAGACCAACTTTTAATGACGAAGGCAGCCAGAGTGAACGATATAGTTTACTCTTTAGGCGTTAAAATAAATAAATAAATAATCATTTGTTTTCAAAGTGCACCGCTATGTAAAGTGTTACGCCGGCTTTTATCCTCAATTTGAGCAAAATATACTAATACCTCTTATACTTAATATAAGAGTTAGAGAATAAATTTAATTCTAAATAGAAAAACTTGATCTATTTTGTCTTATTATAATTTTTTTTAGATACCCTTATTAATTGAAAGGAATTTTTACTAAGGAATAGTTCCAATCACATAATTAAATACGATAGTTTAGGAAAATCAATACATATTTATTATAACGATTAAAGTATACATTTAGTCTTTTAACTTTATAGAAAGTTTCAATCTAGTCCTTTAACTTTAAAAAGTATACTTTTAATTTTTTAACCCTAAAATTGTGAACAAAAAAGTGATGAATTGAGATATTAAAAGTTAATAAATTAATTTTAGTTGGATTAATATAATCTTTGATATTGATCCATCAAATTTGTCCTCATTTTGGTTTTAGTTCCCCAAGTTTCAACTATAGATTTTGGTCCCTAAAAAAAAAAAATAGTTCAAGTTTTTATTAAATTATAAGGACTAATATTTTAAATAAAAAGAAAATTGAGTGGCCAAAACTTATGATTTGAAACTTTAGAGACCAAAACCAAAATGAGGGTAAATTTGAAATATCAAAGTTTGTGCTAACCTTTTTAATTTTCAAATTAATGATGATTATTAGAAAAAAAATCATCATTTAAGTCTAATGATTTTAGGATTAAATGATCAAATATGTACTTTTTAAAGTTAATAGACCAAATTGAAACTTTGTACAAAGTAAAAGGACCAAATATATACTTTAACTTGTGATAATTAATAGCATAACTAATTTTTTTCAAATTAGTCATATAACTCTTCTATTAAGCACATGAGGCAGTATAATAATAAAGTCTAGGAGAATTCTGACACGACAATACAAACAGAGCTATAAATTTTTATTTCTTTCATAAAAAATAAAAACATTGTTCATTGCCTGTTTTGTGTAACTGGGGCTGGCTATCTTTTGATAAAAATAATTTCATCATAATCATTATTTAGTGGGCGGTGGTGAAGTTGATTAAAACCTAAATATTATGACTCCCAAAAAAAAAAATTTTTTTGCCAATTAACATGAATATATTCGCTTGACAAAAGGGATTTAATAATAGAGTCTCACTGTCACCCATGCTATGTGGGTTCAAATCAAAATTTGATGTTGATGCGATGCTTAATTAATTAAACAAGAACAAATTAGAAGCAACTCACAAAAAAGGAAAAAAAGAAGAAGAATAAAGTAGAAAGAAAGGCAAGAACTTGATTCATGGATTGTTTATTAAAAGCAAAATCACGATTTTATACTAATTATAATATCAAATTAATTAAAGAAAGAAAAGATGACTCAATAGTGGCACATGATTTAGGCGGACCATGAACATCACAGTGCAGGAGATTGGAATTATTACCACATAGCATGTGGCTCTAATTAAAAATTCAACAAATTGCACATCTAATCCACAAATCTGCTTAATCAATGGGAATATTGAACGGTCAAAATTTAATTTGTTCGGACAACCTAAGTATCTCGTGTTAAACGTGTTGAATTTTGCCTCGGATCCATTCTAAATTAAAATATCAGGTTTTTTATAGTGTAACTGTAATCATTATGCCTCAAACTGTTTTTAATATAAGAGCATTTAATTTGATCTTCATTATAAGAATAAATCTATTTTATCTTCATTATTTATCCATTTTATCTCTAAATAATTACACATATTAACGAGTTTTCGTTAAGATATAATTCCAATACACATGATTAATAAAAGTAAATATTTTAAAAAGAACAATATCTACTTATTAAAAAATTAATTAATTTTTTAATATTTATAAAGTAGTTATCTAATTCTTATATTAAAAATCAGAATAACTAGTATTATTTCTCATAGAATATTTGGTTGTCCACTAAAAAGGTTCGTGTACGTACAAACAAAGAGCTGTACCCAACAACATTAATTAATAAACAAATTCAATATATTATGGCCATTTCCTGTACGCATAAAACTTTACTTTGAGACACGTAATTAGTACGAACACGTTTGATTCTACCCAACTTTTAATTTATTGTAGAAAATAAAGGTCTAATCATGCATAGACAAGCCAGTGACGTTTTATTCACAATGCATGTTCAAAAAAGGAGAAATCTAAATAGGAAATCAAGGAATTCGGTCTGCGCATGCAAACAACTTTATTTGGTATATGGCCTCACAATGACTTGTGAGGAAGAAAAGAAGAATATGCTGTTTCTGATTATCTTCGTCCCTCCTTCTCAGAAAACACTAATAAAGCTCCTCCTGTCAAAAATATAATGAGATGTTCATCATATGATCACGTGCATTGTTAATCTGAAAACTAATAATGTTACTGTGCTTAACGTAGACTGACCTGATCCCTTTGATTTTTCAGACTTACGAGATTAATATACTACCTCCGTTCCTTAATATAAGACCCTGTTTGACTTTTATTTTGATCCTAAATATAAGACCCCAATCCACTTTGTCTCTCATATTTATAAATTTTTTTTCAAAGTAACCCTTCTAATAATAAGAGTTCTAGTCAATATACTTGATTAGTAAGGATATTTTAGGAAAAACAACACTTATTTAAGACAAATAACTAACTCAACTTGTTTTCTTAATCTCTCAAATTAGTCAACTGGCTCTTATAATTAGGACCGGAAGTAGTAATTGGCAGACAGTTGCTTTTTGTAACAACCAAATGTCAAGGGAAAATGAACCTAACAAAGTAACAACCAGTTTTTTTCCCCCACTACTTTAATATTTAATATGTTCTTGAAGTCCTTCCTTCAGGAACAGGAAAAATTGAACTTGGTGATTGAAAGACCAATAAGACGAAGCCTGAGGAAAAAAGGGTATATAGCATGTATATATTATATAATGCAGTCTTCATGGTTCATTGAGACCAGACAAATAGGTTTTATATACATCTTTTTTTATCTCATTGAATGAAGCACCATAAGGTAGCCCCACAACTTTAAGAACCCACATATAAATAAATCTCTATTAATTACGCACTTTTTTCAAATGTGCTTCATTTGACTATATATTCCAGTCACTAATGGTGTCACGCGCTTGCCCACTCATATATAAGCATGATGAGGATATCAACTCCTTCATTGTTATCCTTGCTTCCAAACTCTCCAAGTTGAGCTTTAGGAGAAGAAGTAGAAAGAAGCAACATGGGTTCCTCAGAAAGGGAAGTGTTAGAGAAGATAGAGAAGAGTGGAAAAGAGAGATCTTCAAGTAACTCCATAGCCATAATTTTCAGATATAGTGATTGGATTGATATGGTGCTCATGGGAATGGGTGCTTTAGGTGCAATAGGAGATGGCATGTCCACCAACGTATTGCTTATATTTGTCAGCCGTATCATGAACAGCCTGGGTTATGGGAATAACCACCAAAACAGTGGGAATTTCATGGCTGAGGTCGAAAAGGTTGGCACATGTTGTAATACTCTGTCTAACTACGTTCTTCCTTAGTTATATTATTTTTCTTTTCTTACCTTCTTTATCTTTGCTTGGGTTGTTGTTTACAGTGCAGTTTATATTTTGTCTACTTGGGGTTAGCAGCCATGGTGGCGGCCTTCATGGGTAATTCCAAACACTCTCCTCTTCCTCTTCATCTTCTGACTTCAGATTCTGAGGAGAAAGCGAAAGTGACAAATGTTTACAGTTGACATTTAGCGAGAATCTTACCGCACTATCACTACCTATCTGGAATCTAAGAAAAAAACTGACTATATATTCTAAAGACATGATCTTGAACAATAAAAACAAACCATAGGAACTTTAGAATGCAAGATGCATACAAGTGACTGCTGATGATTAATGCAGAAGGGTATTGCTGGAGCAAAACAGGCGAGAGGCAGGTTCTGAGAATTCGCTACAAGTATTTGGAAGCTGTGCTGAGACAAGAAGTGGGGTTATTCGACTCC